GGGTGGGGTCCTGTCCACCCCCGAGGAAGAACTGTCTCTGTCTGTGTTTGGATCTGTGCTCGGGGGGCGCTTCTCGGACCCCCCGCCGTTGCCTCCCGAGCATGCAGCTCGGGGCCCACGAACACGTGCGTGCACACACAGCTGGCAAGTGCGCCCCCGAAGCCGCGAAGCCTCGCGATCTCCCGAGGCCGCCATCCCGCACGAGCGACTGCAGACGTGCGCCGCCATCTGTGGCCACCATTGTCTGCATCTGGATGCGTGGGGGGGGGCTTTTCGGACCCCCGCCCCCCGTCGTTTCCTGCGAATTCGGTTCGCGGCCCGGAGCCACGAGCCCGTGGAGGTGGCTGAAGGTGCGCGCCCCCGAGGCCGCGAACCCTCGCAAATCTCAAGGATCGCGCTCTCCCGAGGCCACCATCCCACATGAGCGACTACAGACGTGCGCCACAATCTTGCCACCGAAGAGCCCAAAACAACTGCCAATGATCAAGTCCTGCGGCAGCACACGTCAGACGAGCTGCCGGCCAGCCAGCCGACAAGAAACCGAACAAGTCTGCCAACGCAGCGTGGCCACGCACGCAATCTTAGGGGGGCAGCAGAGCGCTAAACCCTTCATACTATATCTATGATGCTGACCGGACGGCGATAAGGAGATTGGGGGCTGGAGCCAACTCTCCGCCCGAATGAGGCCATGTTTGCCTAGGCCTGGTCGGATACCTGGCGACGGCGACGCTTTTCGCGCGCCTCTCGGTACACACGGACGTAGAGATAAACATGTATAACTGCATACGCTATCACACACCGCCTATGTATATCAGTACCTATATACCTGCCGATCTCACTGAGTAACTCGGCCCCGACAGCGCCGAGCGAATTTTGTATAGCATGTTGGCACCACAAATCTGGGCACGAACGGCGCCACACGTGTAAGTATTCTGGCCACAATCCTCAGGCGCCGAAGGCACCGAATTCATGGATTGTTGCAGTTTGGTCGAAAACCCGAGGCACAGAAGGCGGTGAGCGCTTTTGTTTGACCAGCATCCATCGGGCAAACCATCAGGACAACCATCGGAACATCCATCGGGACGACCATCGGGACAACCGTCGGCACAACATCAGGACAAACAACTATCAGGACAATCGCAGAACAACCATCGGGACAACCATCGGGACAACCATCGCGACAACAATCGTGGCAACCATCAAGCAACCATCGTAACAGATATCGGGACAACCATCGGGACAACCCTCGGGACAACATTCAGAACAACAATTGGAACATCCATCGGAATAACAATCGTGGCAACATTCGGGACTACCGCAAGAAAACCACGGGACAACCGCGGGACTACCACGGGACAACCATGTTACAACCGCGGGTCTAAATCCGCCAACTGGACGGGGGAGACTGTTAGCCTCCGACTTCGCCCTAACGACCGCGGGATCACTCCCCTCGCCCGCGCACGCAACTTCGCCGCGCCCAGACGCATGGCACGAACACGAAACGGAAACCGATTTCCTGGGGGGGGGGCGGGCCGCTCCTCCTCGATCTCACCCCCCCAACTCCACCCCCCTGAACTCCGACCTGCCTACAAACGGGGCGCACGCGCAGAACAGCCGCGGGACAACCACGGAACGACCACAGGGCAATCACAGAGCCAGCACAAGACAGCCACGGGAAACGCCAGAGGCTGCCGCGGGACAACACCCCGCGCACGCCAGGGGAAGAGCGACCACCATCGCGGGACGATCGCGGGACGGCCCCGCGCTCGGCCGTGACCAGCCACGCTACGCCCGCAGGCGCGGTGCGACCCCCCCAAAAAAACCGCTGCCGAGCACACGACCGTGCCCGCGCGACTCGCCTCGGCAGCGTCGCGCCGCACGCGCGGCGGAATCCGGGAGCCGACACCGCCTGCCCGGTGGATGGCCTCCGTTTCGCTCGGCGTCTGCTGCACAGCCCGGGGTGAGCGGATGGCGCTGGGCGAGCTCGGCCTCACTCGGGCACGGGGGCCAAGCGCGAGCGGTCGACGTGGCGGTTTCGGTGCGGAGGGGCCCCGTGTGCGCGACTGGCGCAGTGCAGCTCAGCGGTGCTCCTCGAATTCCGACGAGCCGAGTGTAGACTGCGGCGCAGAGCTGCAGCGCACTCGAATCGGCAAAGTGCTTCAGCTGGCTCGATGTCGAGCATACGGCTCGAAGGTAAGCACTCATGAGATCCACGGACCTAAACTTGCTGGAGGCGAGAAGGCGCGTGAGCTGATTGGCTGTCCCCCATCCCCCTTCAACCCTCCCCTGTCAGGCCAGCATCCTGAGGCTTATGTTGCTACCATCAGACTTGAGGACCACATCCCAGAAATAATCTCGAGCACCCGGAAAAGAGTCGAAATACGAATCAGTGTCGGACGAGTGTCTCCCAGAGCCCGACACGTGAAAACCCTGGAGATTTGGGGTACTTGTCTGGTGCTCGAGATTCTTCTTGCTGGTGATCAAGGCTGAAGTAGGCTGGCACATCACAACCCGAGGCCAACACCACGTGCAAATTGCGCCAGAGTCGCGCTCCCTACAGTGGGGACGCGGCCGCAAGAAACCCTTTCCAGAAACCCAGCCCTGAAATTTCGCGAAGTTTCTTGCCCAGGGCCTGGGGATCTGATCCAAGGGATCCAACCGCAGAAAACCCTGGCATCCCCGCGCGCAGCAGTCTTTTGACGATCGGGAGAGGTCAGCGCGCATCGCTGGAAACAAAGAAACCCAGGGCACCCTGAGGCAGAATTGCGCTGCATGCTTAACAAATAAACCAATGATATCGACGACCCCCCAAAACGAAAAATCCAACGGGCCGTCGGCTCCGATGCAGTCAGAGTAGCCTCAATATGGTGGCTGGCACTCTGGGGCGATGTGCGCGGTGCATCGTTCTAAACCCCAAACTGGCAGGTAGTCGGGAAACCTTGTGGGAAAAATGACGAACACCAGATGGTTTCTTGGTGCGCGCCCCCACTGGAGGCCTAAGTCGGGCCTGTCCCTCTACAGGGGGAACGTATTCAATAATAGTCTGCACATAATATGTGGACTATGTTTTGCATATGTTTGGGTATCTTTTTCAACTTCGGCACCGCCTGGTCCCAGGGCTTTGCCCTCTCTCGGCCTTGACGTGAGGCGGCGCCGCCTTCTTTTGCCCCCCCCTCTACTAATCAAAGCTGTGCGCGGCCCGCTTAGCTTCTATCGGAGGAGGCTCGCTCTCGACCCGCAGATCAAAAAAAGTTTGGGTATCTTTTGAGTACTGTTTTTTGAGGCCTGGAAATTGGCACCAACACCAGCACAAGAGGTTGCCTCCACATGGGGAAACTGATCTTAGCTTTCGGTGTTGGTGGAAATATTTCGGTCACCTTGGAAACCAAAATATTACCACCATCACCGAGATTGGTATCGTCCTCCCTCGGTGGAGGCACACCGCCGATCTTGGTGTTTGGGTCAACCTCTAGGCCTGCGATGTTTGGACATTTTCTGCTTCTCGTCCAAAATCCCCCTGCAGGGGGGCAGGCCCGACCGAACTGCAGGCCACGCCGCCCCGCGGGCTGCTTCCGGGCCGCGCCGCCGAGGCCGGCCGAGCCCCCCGCAGTGCGTCGCGGCGGGCGGGCGCCTCCGAGGCCGCAGGCCGCCGTGCAGCGCACCGCGCCGCGGCGCGCCCGGGGCTGCCACAGCGGTCGGGCGTGCCCCCCCCCTTACAGGCGGATCTTGGGTGAGAAAAAGCCTTCTCCATCTCCTTCTCGTTCGTCTCCCCCTCCTCCTCCTCCTCCTCCTCCTCCTCCTCCTCCTCCTCCTCCTCCTCCTCCTCCTCCTCCTCCTCCTCCTCCAGGGTCGGCGGTACCGGCCGTAAGGCCTCCACAACACTCAAACATGCTCAAACATAGTCAAACAAACGTCCCCATATTATTGTTTTGACTATGTTTTAGTCTTCCTCCTGTAGGGGGAGGTGCCCGACTTCAGGCTACCAACGCTGGTGCCTTGCGCCAGACTCGCGCCAGGCCGCAATCCCCAGCAAGCTGGTCCAGATGCGCGCTCCCGATGCAACTCACGTCCTGTAAGTTGCAGCGAGTCTGCGTCCTCGAAGCCACAAGCCCTGGCATCTGTTGAATGCGCTCTGGAGGCTGCCCAAAAGCGCCACCCCCTCTGCAAAGCAGAACCACCACCACTGTCTGTATTTGGATGCGTGGGGGGGGGGGGGGGGGGGCGCTTTTCGGGCCCCCCCGTCATTTCCTGCGAATTCGGCTCGCGGCCCGAAACCACGAACCCATGTACAAAGCTGAAGGTGCGCGCCCCCGAAGCCGCGAACCCTCGCAAATCACAATGGAAGTGCTCGCCCGAGGCCACCATCCCACATGAATGATTACAGACGTGCGCAACAATCTAGCCATCAAACAACCCCGAAACGATTTGCCAAATATCCAACAACACAAAACACATCGAGCGAGCTGCCAGCCGGCCAACCGACAGGAAAAAGCAGAACGTCTGCCAAGCAAGCATGGCCATGCAAGCAGTCTGGTGGGGGGTGGGGCGGCGGCGGAGGGCGAAGCCCTTCAGACTATACCCATGGGATTGGCCAGAGGCCGAGCAGTAGATCTGCTCGCCATCGCTTGGACGTCATTTGTTTGTGTATTTATCGCTTTCGCGCGTGTTTTTTCGCTCGATGGTCCAGGATGCTCCTCGATGGTTCTCGCCGAGAACAAATGCACACGTCCGAGCGATGCCGGGTTTGGGGGGTGGAGCCAACTGCTCCGCTCGACGGAGTCCACGTTTGCCTAGCCCTCGTCAGCTACCGACAAACTAGCTCACCTAGTGATCTGCCACCGGCCCGTTAGATTTGTTGCCTGCCGACCCCTGGATTGTCATGTGCATTCCGATCTGCTCAGCCACTCACAAGCTAGCATGGCAACGATGACGATGGCGACAAGACGGCGATAAGACTGGCGATGATGATGGCGATGTCGATGGCGACGATTTTCGAAAGCCTCTTTGTAGATACGTACATATAGACATGCATGCATAAATGCCCACACCCTCACGAACCATCTGTCCATGTATATTACAGTCAACCCGTATCAGAAGGATAGAATGCAAGGGCCTTGGAAGGCCACGTCGAAGCTTTTCGAGCGGGGCGCGGCCAACGAAAGTGGCCAAGGATGGGCCGGGGAGGCAAGGACGCAAGGCCCTAAGTCGCTTGGCACCGAAGGCGCCGAGCGCATTTTGCATAGCATTTTGGTAACAAATCTCGAGGCGCCGAAGGCGCCGAACGCATGTTGTAAGCATTCTGGCCGCAATCCTCAGGCGCCAACGCCGAACTCATGTGATGTTGCATGTTGGTCGGAATCTTGAGGCACATACTGCGGCGATCGCATATCTTTTACCGAAATCCGTTGAATAAAACATCGGGGCAAACATCGGGACAATCATCGACACAACCATCGAAACAACCATCGGGCCAACCATGGGGACAACCATCGGGACAACCATCGGGACAACCATCGGGCCAACCATCGAAACGACCATCGGGACAACCACCTGGACAACCATCGTGACAACCACTAGAACAACCACCGGGACAACCATCTGGGCAACCAACAGGACAACCAACGGGACAACCATCGGTACAACTATCTGGGCAACCATCGGGACAACCATCGGGATAACCGTCGGAATATCACGGGACAACCGCGTGACAACCACAAGACAACCACGGGACAACCGCGGGCCCGAATCTCCCAACTGGACGGGGTAGAGTCTTGAGTCTTTTGCGCTGACTTCGCCCTAGCAGCGGCGGGATCACTCCTGTCGCCCGAGCACGCAGTTTCGCCTCGCCCATACGCACGACACGAATACGAAACCGAAAGCGATGCCCTGATGAGGGGGGTATGTTTCCCTTCGATTTTAACACCCCCCAAACCTCCGATCTACCTACAAACGGTGCACGCGCAAGACATCCACGGACCAACCACGGGACAATCACATTACAACCACGGAGACATCCGCGGACCATCGACGGGACAATCACGTGACAACCACAAGAAAAGCCCAAGACTACCGCGGGATAATCCCGCGCACGCCACAAGACAACAACGGGACAATCATGTGACAACCGACCCCGCGCACGCCAGTGCCCGCGCGACCGAATTTGGTAGCTTCGCCTCGCCCGCACGCGCGACACGAACCCAGAACCGAAATCGACTTTTCAGTTGCGGGCCTCCGTTCCACTCGATCTCGACCTTCCCAACCTCCGATCAGCTGATGGCGCTGGGCAAGCTCGGCATCACTTGGGCAAGGGGGCGAAGCTCGAGCGGCCCACGTTACGATTTCGATGTGGAGGTGGGGTTCTCGCGGCTCGCACAGTGCATTTCAGCGGCGTGCTTGATTTTTCCGCAGAGCTGAATGCCGACTGTAGCGCACTCGAATCGGAAAGGCTTCAACTGGCTCGACTACCAGCTCATAAGATCCACCAGCTCGAACTTGCTTGAGATGAAATGGCGTTTGAAAGAGGAGGGGAGCTCCCTACGAGCCCGTCAACGCACCTCCGGGGCCCCTGCAGCCTCGAAATCCACCCTCCGTGGACTCCGTGGCCGCCAAGATGCCCAAGATGCCTCGCAGGATGCGGCCAACCCGCAAGAAACAGGGATGCGCGGCAAGGGTGCAAAGGGCCTCGGAAGGCCATGTGGACCATCTGCGAGCGGGGCGCGGCCAGCGAAAGCGGCCGAGGATGGGCAGAAGGAGAAGGACGCGAGGGCCACCCTGGAGAGCTGCTCGTCCTCACTCCGCGGGCTGGCCGCAGCTCCTGGGGAGGGCCCCGACGTGCCGGAGAGGCCCGCAGAGATCCTCACAAGCTGGCCCCGGGACGGCCCGAGACCGCGCCGAGGCGCCCCCGAGAGGGCCCCAGAGAAGACCTCCGGGAAGTCCTCCACCGGCCCATCCGCAAGGGTCAACGACCTCCCACCTAGCATGTTTGTAGATGCTTTTCGCGTGCCCCCACGCTTCGAAGACTCACTCGAAGCTGTATCTTTTGAAGGTTGAGCTTTTCCGTGTGGCACGCGCGCGTCACTAAGCACGTACGCCCCCGAGCCTGACAGTGCATCGTTGCCGGCCTGCGGGAATTCTCACCGCTGCGCTGGCACCCCTCCTGTCAGAGAGGCCATCGGGCCAACACATAATTAGAAGCAAACGTGCGAACAAGATGTGAACCCGTGGAAAATGACTAGATTGAGCCAGTCGATGTGCTCGCCTCTCAGTCCCACGTCGCCTCGGCCAGCCTACCCGTCTGGAACTCGACGAGGACGCCACCGATGTTGTCACCGCCGAGCAGGCCCTCAATGTATTCGTCGTCTTCGAGGCCTCCAGAGGCGTCACCCGGGCACACGCACATCATGTCTCTGCTAGCGAGGCTGGCGGCAGCCTCGTTGTCGTTCAGGCTGTCTGTGTGGCGCGGCTGCATGCGCTGCTCCTTGATCTTCTCCCAGCGGACCTTCCAGTCTGGCATGCTGTGGCGAGGGCCAGCCTTTTGGTCGAGGCCATCCCTGTGGCGCTGGCACTCGGGCGTGACATCCTCCAGGGACTCGGGGTGCTCGTCGAACCCAAGCAGGCCGCCGACGTCCGCGCGGCCCAGCGAGCTCAGGCGCCGCACGGCCAGATTCAGGTGCTCCTGCCTGGGCAGGTCTTGGCGGATGACGAGCTTCGTGGGCTCGCTGGCAAGCCACTTGTTAGTCATCTGGATCTCGACCTGCCCTGCCACGGTCGGCACATCCCCAAAGGCGTCCTTCTTGCTGTGCCACTTCGCCGTGGACAAGGACACCTCGAAACCATCCTTTGACTGAGGCTCCGAGACGACGTAGCTTGTGTCGGCCCACTGCGAAAGCTTCTGCCACGGGGCCTCGTCGGCAACCGCGCCAAGGGTTCGATCCAGCACCCGCAAACCTAGAAACTTGTCGGTCTCGTTCTTGACGTGCGACCTGAGGTAGGAGCGCACCTGCACGACCTTGCCGCCTAGCCAACTGCCTGAGATCTCCACCTCGGTGATGTATGTTGTGCACGGCTTCCCGTGCTCGGGGAGGATCGAGGCCTTCAACTCCACCTCGGCGGGCTTTATAGTGTTCTGAGGGATCCGCAGCAGAGTGAACTCGCCCCCGTGGTTCACGTCGAAGTGCTCCCCATTCAGGTTGACCAGGTGCGGGTCGCCCTTGGCCGACACTGTAGGGGCTGGTGTCGGCAAGGTGGTGGGAATGCAAGTGCCGCACCCACCAGCGCCAGTAATATCGCACTTCGTTGACTCGCCACAAATTTCTGAGCCACATCCGCATGGGAAGAAACTGGGATAGCCAACTCCATCAGTCGAAGAACAGGTCTTGGTAACACGGTCGTACTCGCTGAAATCCATAGTCAATGCCGGAATGTCGAAGGAGATGGCCGGGGTGCTGGGCGCGGCGCCTGTGATGACAAACGTACCGTGGTCGCTAGCGCTTTCACAGCAGCACTTAGAAATCGTGATCGAATCCCCGACGGTCGGAGAGAATCCGCCCAAGTCGGTGTTCTTGTTGACGTAGATCCTGGTGTGGCCCACCTCTGCACTCGCATTGAGGTACATAGCATCGTCCTCCATGCAATTGTCGCAAGCTTGAACGGCGAATTTGCCAGTCTCGCACGTGGTGCATGAATCAGCGCGACGACGCCTGGTTTCCCCAGTGCACGACTGGCAAACGCTCGTGCCAGGTTGCAGCCACTCTGCGCATGTAGTGCAAGGACTCGGCACAGGCACAGGCGGGTTCGAGGGAGGTAGGTCGGAAGCCTCGCACTCCGTCTGGTTGAGGCAATTGTCGCCATCCAAATCCCAAACCTCCATCTTCCCGGCCAATCCGTCCACCGCCTCGACCTCCGGAAGCTCAAGACAGCCACTGCCATCCGTGTCATAGTATGGGAAACTACCGCAAGTTACATTGCAACTGCACGGGACCCCGGGCTCCATCGTTGGCTCGGGCGTCTCCACTGGCCTCCCGCCAGAGCGCATGAAATCTTCAACCAGCCCCCGCGCAGACGTCTGGATGAGCTGCAACTCGGCGCCAACCATGGAAGCGAACGCAAAGGGCATTGCAACGCGTAGTTTGTACGCCATCGTCTTCAAGACGATACCGTGGAAGTGTAGCAGTATATGTTCAATTCAGATAGGGGGGCACGGAGTGCTTGCCCTGAGCCAAAATGGGTACGGAGTTTGGCCAAGGGTGTTCTGCGGACCGCCTTGGGGCCTCTTGGAGCGTCTCGTATGCGTGTTGTGGTTCCCCAGGGCCTTTCCCAGGGCCGCCCTGGAGTCCCACCAGCCTTCTGAAGTAAGTGGTATAAGGAGTTTCCTCTTCCACCCCTTTTCTTCCCCTTCGTGGAAGGCTTACCCCTCCCCCCTTACCCCCTCCCCTGGACCTACGGCCCCAACGGGGAAACCAAAATCACTGGTTCCACTAAGATGTTGCTTCCATTTTGGCCTCTTGGGCGGGCAACACGAATTGCGACCATCCTCTTTTTTGATCGATGTCCTCCAACATGGCCCGAAAAAGCGCCCAAGAGGCTCCAAAAGGCCCCAAAATGGCCCCAAGATGGCCCCAAGAGGCACCAACCAAGAGGCCCCCAGGAGGTCTCCAAGAGGACCCCAAGCGGCCCCAGAGGCCCCCCCGAGGCACCCAAAACGCCCAGGAGCTCCCCAGGACCGCCAATAGACCCCCCAAACGTCCCAAGAAGCCACCAAGAAACGCCCAAATGACATCCCAAAATATTCAGAAAAAAAGGCATCCAAAAAACCTCTGTTTTTTGGTTTGCCCTCCTCCTCCTGTTCCTCTTCCCTCCTCTCTACTCCTTTTTTCCTCCTCCTCCTCCCCCTCTCCCCCTCCCCCTCCTCCTCCTCCCCCTCCCCCTCCCCTCCCCCTCCCCTCCCCCTCCCCCCTCCCCCTCCCCCTCCCTCCCCCTCCCCCTCCCCCCCCCTCCCCATTCCTCCTCCTCCCCCATCCCCCTCCCCCCTCCCCTCCCCCTCCCCCTCCCCCTCCCCCTCCTCCCCCCCCCTCCCCCTCCCCCTCCCCTCCTCCTCCTCCTCCTCTCCTCTCCTCCTCCTCCTCCTCCTCCTCCTCCTCCTCCTCCTCCTCCTCCTCCTTCTCCTCCTTCTCCTCCTCCCTCCTCCTCCCCTTCCTCCTCCTCCTCTCCTCCTCCTCCTCCTCCTCTCCTCTCCTCCTTCCTCCGCCTCCTCCTCCTCCTCCTCCTCCTCCTCTCCTTCCTCCTCCTCCTCCTCCTCCTCCTCTCCTCTCCTCCTCCTCCTCCTCCCCTCCTCACTCCTCCTTCCTCCTCCCTCCTCTCCCTCTCCGCCTCTCCTCCCTCCTCCTAATCCTCCTCCTCCTCCTCCCCCTACCCCTCCCCATCCCCCTCCCCCTCCCCCTCCCCCTCCCCCTCCCCCTCCCCCTCCTCCTCCTCCTCCTCCTCTCTCCTCCTCCTCCTCCTCCTCCTCCTCCTCCTCCTACCCTCTCCTCCTCCTCCTCTCCGCCTCTCCTCCTCCCTGACTCATCATCTCCTCCTCCTCCTCCTCCTCCTCCTCCTGTCATCCTCTCCTCCTCCCCTCTCCTCCTCCTCCTCCTCCTCCCCTCCTCCTCCTCCGCCTCCTCATCCTTCCTCCTCCTCCTTCCTCTCTTCTCCTATTCTCCTCTTCTCCATCTTCTCCTCTTCCTCCTCTTTCCTCTCTCTCTTCTCCTCTTTTCTCCTCTCCGACCCTCCTCCTCTCCTTCCTCCTCTTCCTCCTCCTCCTCCTACTCCTCTCCTCCTCCTCCTCTCCCTCCTCCTCCTCCTCCTCCTCCTCCTCCTCCTCCTCCTCCTCCTACTCATCTTCTCCCCACTCCCTCATCCATCCATCCATCCATGCAGCCTCCTCCTTTTCCTCCTCTTTCTTCTTTCGCAATGTTCGGCCGCCCTCCCTTCGCTCCCGCACTTTCCTGATCGCCTCAACTCGCCTGGCATCGTTTCTGGATGGGCTGGTGGGTTTCTTTTTGGTTAGCGGGCGCGCAACAAGGGTCGAACGCCGAGCGTGCTACGGCGGGCCGCGCCGGTAGCGAAGTGAAAAGCACTGCCGGCGACGGCGCGCGAGCAGCCGCGGCGCCGACCAGGCGGGCAGCAGCAAAAGAGCGTGCCGAAGACGAAGACCACGTGAGCGCGGCAAGCTTGGCGAACAACAATTACAAGAACTGCCCCAAGAGCACGAGGAGGACGCCGAAAAAGGCGGAGACGGAAAGTGGTGGCGTACAGAACGGTCACCGCTGTGCCAACGTAGAAGACCCAACCAACATGGCGCGAGGAAGGCGAACAGGTGGCCGATGGAAAACGCGGTGACGCGCAGGTGGACCCCGTGAAGTAGGCCAGATGGAACCCTGGCATATGGACCAGCAGGATCAGGCGACCGCGCCAGCCGGCAATACCACCCATAGCCGTGCCCGAGCATCCAATTCCAGCCTTGCCGTACAGGTAGAACTTCAGATGGCCGTCAAGCGACACCCAGAGCCCCGCGAGCGCGAACCAGAAGACAAAACTGGTCGGCACGAACTGACCGTGCAAGCGAGGACGCTCACAGGTGAAAGTCCAGCGCGTACCCGAAGCCAAGGAGAAACCTCATCGTACAGGTAGGACTTCAAAAGGCCGTGGGTTGACACCTTGCGATTGCACAAATATGGGACTGACCAGAGGCCGATAAGGAGATTTTGGGGGGGTGGAACCCACTGCTCCGCCCGACGGACTCCTTGCTTGCCTGGTCCTGGTCTGCCAACGGCCCTTCAGCTCTGTTGCCTGCTTGCTCTTGGATTGACATGTAAACTCCAGTCTGCTCATCCATGCCAGGAGGCGTCGATGATGACGATGATGATGGCGACGGCGATGACGATGATGATGGCGATGGCGATGGCGACGATGTTCGAACGCCTCTCCGTACATATGCACATACAGATATACATGCATAACAGCACACGCTCTCACAAACCATCTGTCCATGCATGCGACTACCAAAATATTAGCCGATATTACTAAGTCGCTCGGCGCCGAAGATGCGGTCAACGCATTTTTCACTGGAATGCATCGGGCAAGCCATCGGGGATAGCTGCTAGCCCCGATGGTTTGCCGCGATTGTTGCATCGGACCAACAATCGCGGCACAACCACCGGGACACAACCATCGGGGCAACCATCGGGACAACCATCGGAAACATCATCGGAACAAACATCGAAACGACCATCGAAAAAACCATGAGGACAACCATCGGGACAACCATCGGGCAAACCATCGGGACAATTATCAGAACAACCATCGGCGCACAACCGTCGAACAAAAACATGAGGACAACCATCGGGACAACCATCGGTTCAACCATCGGGCCAACCATCGGGCCAACCATCGGTACAACCGTCTGTCGACAGTGGACAAACCTCCCTTTAGTAAACCACCCTTTAACGAAAACGGCCTAAGACCGAAACCGACGGACCTGGACCCGCAACGATGACGGCCGCGACGCCCTCTCGCGAACCGAAAACGGCCAATTCGCTAATCGACGTGTCAGGGTAGGAGGTCTGACAACCTCCAAATCTGGGCAACCATCTGGACAAACATCGGGACAATCATCGGGACTACAGGACAATCACGAGACAACCACACGACCATCGGGACAACCACTGGACAACCGCGGGACAACAGCGGGCCCAAATCCACCAACCGGACGGGGTAGAATTTTTCGCCCTGGCATCGCCTTTGCAACGGCGGGATCACTATCGTCGCCCGCGCACACACAGCTTCGCCTCGCCCGAACACACAACACGACTACGAAACCGAAGCTGGCACCCTGGTGGTGGGGGGGTCTGTTTCCCATCGATCTCTGCCACCCCCCAACCTCCGATCTGCCCACAAACGAGGCGCGTTGCAAGACAACCGCGGGACAACCACTGGCCAATCACGAGACACCAACGGGACAAACCCAAGACTGCCGCAAGACAGCCCCGCGCTCGCCGCGAGGCAGCGAGGGGACGCTGCCGTGGCCCCCCGGACGCGCGTGCGCCGGTGCGGCCCAACGGCGGCGGCTTCACCCCTTGCCCGCAAGGCACCAGCCAAGGGCCGAAACCGACTTTTCAGCTGCGGGCCTCCGCTCCACGCGGTCTCGGCCTTTCGAAGCGGGGATCGTCCTGAACATTATGTTGCTCCCATCGTACTGAAGGACCACATGCCAGAAATAATGTCGAGCACCTGCAAAAGTGTCGAAACAGTGTCGAAGCAATGTCGGACGAGTGTCTCCCAGGGCCCGACACGTGGAAACCCTCGAGTCTTGGGTACTTTTCTGGCGCTCGAAACTCTTTCTGGTGATCAGGGCTAAAGCAGGTTGGAACATCGTAACCTGAACAGTGCTCTTCGTCTCGTTCTGTCCTCGTTGTCCCTCGCTGTGGTCTGCAGTCCGCCTTCGCTGCGCAGCGGGCCCTAACCGCAAGCGACCCACGAGGTCGCCAGAAATCACCGTTCAGGTCGACCCCTGCTTCCCAGCCTCCGATGAGCTGACGGCGCCGGGCGAACTTGGCATCACTCGGGCAAGGGGGCCTAGGCTTAGGTCGGGCATGTCCTCCTACAGGGGGATTTTGGACGAAACATAAAAAGTGCCCCAAAAATGCCCCCAAATAGTCAAAAATGGTAAAAACAAATCGTCCCCTGACTATTTTTGAATATTCCCCCTGTAGAGGGACAGGCCCGACCTAAAAGCCCAAGCTCGAGCGGTCGAGCCGCAACGATTTCGATGTGGAGGTGGGGTCCTGTGTATGCTCGCCTCGCGCAGGTGGAGCTCAGCGGTGCTGCATCCAGACTGTCAGCGCAGACCTGCGGCGCACTCAAATCGAACAAAGTACTCCGACCGGCTCGACTCCGAAGAGCACGGCTCGGAGGTAAGCACCCACAAGATCCACCGACCCGAACTTTTGCTGGAGGCGAAAGGACGTTTGGAAGAGGGGGAGCTTCCTGCGAGCTCGTCAGCGCACCTCTGAGGTCCTTGCAGCCTCCGAGTCCAACCTCCGTTGTCGCCAAATGCTCAAGATGCCTCGCAAGATAGCTCCAGGCGGGCCCCGCTCTGCAAGAGAGACCTGCAGAACACTGAAGATGGCCTCCACGACGCCCCGAGACCCCTCCTAATGCGCCCCGAGCTGGCCCCGAAGAAGAC